CTGAGCGGAAAGCATGGTCTGTCTCAACCTGGGCTGAAGAGCTAGGGAGTGCCACAGAAAGGCCCTAAAAAGCTAGGGAGTCCACGTGGGGAATGTAAATCTGATATTGTTGATGGACCAACTGCTGCACGTGAGTCACGGGGTGGCGACCTACTCCACTGGATTCATGCCACGATAATTGAGCAGGCGGTTTGCCTTTGAAGGGGTAATTGCGGATGGACAATGGGGAAAGGGATCAAAAGCGCATGTGTCCAAATCCTGCACCTACAACCTTAGGAATCCATGAAAGACTCCTGCGTTCTAGTGGCAAGAACCTGAGTCGATTCTCTCTCCCGAGTGGTTTGATAGACGAGATCTTGCGTTTCTTCTTTTGCCTGGCTGAAGGCTGGGGCTCGCGCACGGAGTTTGAGAACGGCAAAGCGTGTGACTGGGATCGGATCTCTTCGGAGGAGAGCAAAAGGGCCAGGGGCATTCCCCTCAACAACGACTGAAGAGCGGCATAGGGAGTGGGAGTTTCGGGGATTGGAGCGATCTCCTCAGCCTCTTGAAACCATGCCTGATGCACCTCACTGGGAGGCAGAGCTGCGGTGGAGTTTCTCGAGGGAGGAGCAAGAGATGTTCTTGTTGGAACTCACAACATGGTTGCCGTTAGGGCTTTTGCAGGCATCTTTGGATGGATTTTGGAACAAGTATCACAAGTATCACACTCCCCAATATTCCCCATTGTTCTGATGAAATACAGGGATGCGAGTTTTCAGGGTTGCGGGGTGAGACCTGTACCAGAGGAGGCCTGTTTTTTTTTTTTTTTTAATATAATAGACCTTTCTTTCTTTCTTTCGTTCGTTCGTTCGTTCGTTTGTTCTTTCTTTCTTTCTTTCTTTTAATACAAGCTTTTTTGTGGGAGGAATCCACTGTGGGAGGAATCTGCCCACAATGAGCCGAGGTATCGATGAGATGATGGCAGGGTGCTCAGCCGGGGTGCTGGCTGGGTGAGTTTTCACGCTCAGCTGGTTTTGTACGCTCCCTGCAAGGACCTCAAAAAGATCAATGATTTCCTTTGTACCTCCCAGAGGCACCTAGCAGCCCTAACAGCCCCTAGCAAGAATAAAAGAAGAAAGTTGAAGAAAGCAAGAAATCCTATGGCTTTCAGACCCTCGGCCCAAGCTTTCAGACCCTTGCCCCAAGTTCTTCACACCCTCCACCGGGCGGCCTACATCGGCCTCGTCCTGTTTGAGTTGACCCGTCTGAAAATGGGGCACATCCCGTATGTATTCTGCGCCGCATTCCGGTGAAACACCGACATGTGGCTTTAAAAACGCACCAAATCCCCCAAGCCACCCAAAGTAGATAGCTTATGATGGTAGATGCCTTTAAAGCATGGAGACCTCCCAATTGGAATTCCTGGAACAGGGAAATCGTCCCAGCCGAGACCCGGGGGATCTCCCTGAAATGCGCATCCAGATCGCGAAACGCAAAAGGCGGCCCCCTGGTGGCCCGGCACGCTGGTCCGGGTCCCAGCGTTGCTGCAGTCGTTGGTGAACAAAGCCGTTGGTAGTTCCAAGCCTCGTTTCTTGTGCGAGACATGTGTAGCACGCCCCATGTTTTGGGTCTTCGCGCAAACTGCTTGGTCTCCTGGTTGAGCCTTCGAATTGCGGCCCATGACTGGACTCAGCTGGTCTCTCGTGGGACTTCGAGGTGATCCACGTGGCGTCCATGAGCAACAACTTCAGAGAGAAGGCACGGTGTCCGGCGTCCGGCGTGGCACGGGGGAATGCGACCAGACGATAGGCCGACCGACTGGCCAAAGACAGTCAGAGACGGCCATGACTCGTCAGTAGCGCAGGCCACATGAATTTGGACCGACCCGCGCAGATCTGCGCGGCCTTTTTTTCTGTTGCGAACACTTATAGATAGCAACCTACCAGTAGACCAGGTTGTCATAGATGGTTGTCATTGCGGATGAGACGAGAGTCTCGTAATGTCTTGTATGATGTTTTGGGAGGATCTTTCTTCGTGACGTGAGCGGCTCTAGGTCCTTTTCCGTTTGTAGGGTCTTGGCTCGAGGTGCAAGGGAGAAACCTTTCCCCCAAGAACGTCAGGCTAAGTTGATGGTGAGCAGCGAAACATCCTGAGCATCAAAAGAGCTCCAAGAACTCTTTCCTTCTGCGGGCAAGGTCCCAGCATGTCAAGGACTTGCCATCCGAACAGCCCCGATCACCCCGCTAGAAACTCGGTCCGCTCCATTCGGAGGTCAAAGCTACCTACCCTGGAGTGCGGCAGCCGAGTGTTTGCACACACGTCGGTCACGCGTCATGCTCAGCAGTCTCATCCCCGGTCGACGGGCCGAGGCCGGGTGGTTTGAAACAACCTTAACTGCGGGCGGCCGGTCTCAGCGATGAGACTTGGCACCTCTCACAGTCAGGCAAGCACTCCCATGTGGCGATGTATCTACTTAATTATACATATCCCCATAATTAGGTTTTCATTCCACTTTCACTGTTTGGGCATGGTGAAAACAAGTACTGTATTCAACTATACCAGGTACTCCGTACTCTGAACCTTTTATTCACTTCATACAGCTTGGTCCCCACGGACGAGCGACAGCGGTGAACCCCGACGACGCCCAGGTCAACGTGACATGGCCCTCCTGGGATGCGTCGGCCTGGCCTTTGGAGACCTCCGTTTCGCACAAAGGGCCTTGAAACATCATTTCGGTCCAACTGGAGGGATATTAACATCATTAAACTGATTTCAATCACATTCCATCTATTGTAATTGATTTAATATATGTATATCGTTGAATCGATTTCCATTTCTTTTGCTGGCAGTCCTGGTTGTTGCTGGGTCCCCCTAAAACTGACACCCGGTGGCGGAGCCAGGTCGGTGAGAGCTCAGAAGGATGACAGCACGGCCTACAAGGCGCCTGAGCGTGAAACCCGAGCGAGCGCGAGTTCGGGGGGTAAACCTCCGAGCGGCCCGGTTGGATTGGCTGGAAAGGCCAGAATGTAGACCTGGGGTGGTGGTTCCTCACTTACTTCTTACTGTACAATGGTTTTCTTTGAGAGAAGTCGAGAAGACGTACATCAAGTGACCTCAAACCTCTGCCAGGTCCATTGCGGTCTTGTTTGTTGCAAACAGAGCCAGCCCCCCCACACCGCCTCCCAAACACGCCCAGGACATGCTCCTGACGGGGAAGTGCCACATCCTGGTGGCGCCCAACGGTGGGTCGACCTACACGTACACTCCCACGGCGATGTGCGCCAACACTGCGGTTCCCACTGCCAGTCTAGGCAGTCTAGCCGCCTCTCTCTGAATGGACCCCAAGACCAAAGTGACCAAAGCGTTTTCTGAAGGCAATCGAGTAGCATCTATGGTTGGACGGAGGCTACCTTCGGCGGGTTTCAGTGTTCGTTTCCCCGTCCAGAATTCATCCATGCTGTGGATTCGACCACCAGAAGCCGTGGAGCCTGACCCGGTTGAAGCGGGTTGAAGCCGGGGGGGGCGGGAAGGTACCACTCAGTGGTGGTGCGTAACAAGCCCAACTGCAGCGACCTGCGCGGCACCCCGTCGTTGGGGGATGGGGGGTTTGTGAGGTGAGCTGTGGATTTTTTCAGACCTTCAGTTTTAGAATGTTTCATATTGAAATCTATTGACCTATTAACCAAAAGCATGAATCATTTATTGTCGTTCATCCATTCACAAATATGGGAAGGGTTTGATGCGCAGCCGTGACATTGGCGGAGCAAGCTCTCACCCCCATTTTCCTCAGCTCGGGTGTGGAGAGGCACAGCGAGCCAGCTCGTCCATCGGTCTGAGGCCGTTCCTGCCCTATTGGAAGCTCTTTCCAGAGCCCAAAATGCAGCCTGGGAGCCTCAGAGAGTGCGGCCTCATGAAGAAGCTTCCACCTGGTGGGAGATAGACTGACCCAACCAGACCATTCGCTATTTTTTGCTTGGTCTTTCACTCTTTTTGGGATTTTGGAATGGGTGCTTGCCCAGTTCAATCGGTGATGAGCCGACCCAAAAACCCGCAGGCTGATGCTTCGATGTTTGGGAGGAAAGCATCGCACCACATGGGGGACACTCCTTTTTCACGATGTTCTCAAGAGAATCCATTCCACCATCACTGGCGGACACCAGAAGCCAGAACACTGGCAAGCGAAACACGCATGGCTTCTGACCCATCCCAACCGGTCATGTCTCTTCACACCAGGTGGCCCACTCTGCCGCCAGGTTGGACATTGCTCACCAATGTGGCAAAGTACCGCATTGTTGAGCGGGTAAACCAGTGTTGCCGGGGCTTGCGCCGTGATCGTACTGTACAGGACAGGCATGATCGTACTTCTCAGAGGCTAGGTGGCCGTGCAAGGGCTTTTGAAACTGAGGGTTGCACTAGCCGCACTAATAGCCTTCACAGAGCTTTCTTTGCAACGTGGCTGCTGTTTTCCGGGTCACCTCTACTTGGAAGTACATCTTCCAAAGACTGGGCAGCACCCCAGTGCATAGCACCACTGTGGTCGTGGGAGGATCTGTGTGTTTTCAAAAGTCCATGCAAAGTTGATACCCTCGTCAGAGCACTTTTCACCAATTCCAGAGGGGTCCAAAGAGCAGTTCTTTGGCATTGACGAACCGTCCGCGTCACGACGCAGAGTTCGCCGGCCAAAGAAGCGGGCGAAAAGATGCGGCAGAGGACGCGGCGGATGCGCAACTGCTGTCCTGATCATCCATTTCCCGGACACTTCTTTTCGTCGCCCTCTGCACGAACAGATTTGCGTTTCTGGAACTTGTATGGGTGGTAAGGAGCAGAAGCTCTATGAAGCTCTCTAGTGGCTGTAGTTATTTGCCTTGTGGGTCTTTGGTGTGTGAGGCAGACCCCAAACACCAAATCAAGAGAATTGCAGTCCCAGCCTCCGTCGCCTCCCAGTCGGCGACCCGGATCGCTGGGTCGCCGTGGACCGCGGTTCGGGTGTTTGCTGGGCGTCGGGGACCATCCATCGCCAGACGCGGATCCAGATTAAGCGGAGCCTTGCAAGGACAGCCTGCGGTGGCCCGCGCGTTTCACACACGGAACTTGCGACGTGAGACGTTTTTATTCGAGACGTTTTTCTTCGTTCCCTTCCCGACTGACGCAAGTTTGAATGAGATGTACTGCAGTGTTACTGCCGGGGGAAGTTGCAGCTTTCCATCCAGTGGAAGGAGCGATGCAATCCTACTATGTAAGGCAATGTAAGTATACAGTATATTAATATGATAATATATTTTTATAAGAATGAGCTGTGAAGGATATCCGAATAGCTAGTTTTCCTTCTCCTCCATGAACCAGGGCAGTCACCAACAACCATCCATTTTTTATCAACAGTGTACTGGGAGTGGGCAATTGCAGGACAACTAGTGTAAGAGTTGTGTGGCTTCAGTTTTCTCTAAATTTGCACCAAAAGGAGTACCATCCTGCTGGGATGGAAAGCTTCTACCCACTAAGGGGCAAGACTCTGTTCGGACAGAAAGCCATCTCACCAAAGCCTGCCGCTAGAGATGCTCCAACACGATTGGTGAAATGTTCTCCTCGGACGAGACAGCCCCCCAATGCGTCGGGGATGAAACCAGAGTACACATGAGACAGACGCACGCACGCGCACACATGACTGCAGTTCGCCATTAGGCTGTGTATGGTTTGCCCGCAGCCAGCAGCAGTCCGCAAATGGACAAGCCAGAACCCCACCTTCTTTTTCACGGATTTTCCACTCTTTTGGCAGTTACAGCCCGTAGGATTGCCATACGATCTCTCTCTCTCTCTCTTTCTATTTTTATCTTTTTGTTCTCTCTCTCTCTCTTTCTCTAGTATATATTATTATCTAGGTCACGGTGGTTAGGGATCGCCTCTTCCCGAACAACCGACCCAAATACCGGTGGTCACGGTTTGTCGCCAGCCCGCAGGATGTCTCGAGGAGTCTATAATCCCTACAGCTCCTCCTTCCGGATCCACCAGCGGCAAGAGGCGCGCGCGCTGCGCGCGGCGGTGGTCCTCGAATTGGACTTGCTCATGGCGTGCCATGATTTGCCAGTCAGAGAATAAGTTGGAGGCCATCGGTTTTTTTAGTTCAGAGGATTTGACCCATGAGCTTGATCAGATGGGTTGTGAAAACTATGTTCGCCCGACCAGTCCACCTTTTGGAAGGACCTTCACCTACCACGTCGGTAGGTCAACCGGTCGGTATTCTGATAGGTTTTGCCCCATAGCCATCAAGTGCGGTGTACCTGAGCTCATCCACAGTAAGGATCCTTGGACCCTCCATAGCAGGGGTCGGGCCAATTTAGTTTTTTTTAATTCTAATAGCTTTTTGTTACTACTAGTAAGGCACCTGTTACTACTAGCGTGGCACTTGTTACTAGTAACAAACCCTTGTTTTTGAGAGTCCGGATCCTTGGGGTGCACCGCATTTGACACAGCTTTCTGGACGATCGACGATCGACGATCGCTCCAGGGTTGCGGTAGCTAGTGACTGAGTGGAGGATGGTGAAGCTGGGGACGAACGCAGTCAGAGACTTCATTAGTCGTCATTTTGACATTCTCACGACGCCCGCATGCTTATGTTTGTGTCTGTGTGCTTCCGAAGTGATACCTTGGCCAGGTACCTGATCAACCCCCGAAGCCCTTTCGGCTTCCGGACAAGTTCTGGGAACCGAGCCCATTGCAGGCAAGGCCGCCAAACTGGATCGAGTGGGGGGGGAAGTTTCGGGTTTGAGAACTGGCCAATTCGTGTTGCCCGATGTGTTGGCCAGTCTCAATGTGTTTGGCACGGAGTGTCTCACTCTGTGTCTGTAGTTTGCCGAATGGTTCTCATGTCAGATTTTTGATCATTCCTTTGACCGGCTCACTCTCAGCAGTGGCATGGTGGAATGCTGGTCACCCACCAAGCCTCAGTATGTGAACATCCTCCACCTCCTTGCGCTTGGATTCGATCGCCGCGCTCCCCATCGACCCGGCGCCCGCTCTCGCCCCGGGCCGTCCCTCCGCTTGGTCCCAGGTGCAGCTGGCGAACGAACGGATCACCTTTCGGGACCTGGACATCATCCAACACTTCTTGGCCGACAACGGGCCGGACCCGAACGGACGGAAGGTGGTCGTGGACCGGGTTGTTTACGGGTGGTCAGGTGGCTGTCTGATGCCCGGTGTAGGAGGGGGGGGTCTCCTCACCGGGGGAGGTTGGATGGAGTTGTAGCGGTGAAAACGCAATGACGACGTGTGGGTTGAGGTGGAAGGAGCCATTAGGTGGAGGTTTTGGGAGCCCCCAAAGACCCAAGGTCAAGAGAAATTCTTCAGAGCCAAAGAAGCTGTTCGTAAACATCCAACACATGATGCAGATTCTATATTTAGATGCTGATTCATCCAAAGAGCCACATGAGCTTACCATGTTCCCGAGCTTTCCTCTACTTGATCTGAAGCAAGGTACATCCTGCCTCGGCGGACCACCATGCTGTCCCGCCGAAAGCAGAAGGACCGATCGGCGAACGTCACTCGCACGTTGGGACTTCGATGGGCGAAGCGAACTCACGAACGAAGCCAGTAGGTCTTGACTCATATGTTTTTGATCCCAAGCTTGCTATAGATGCAGTGGAAATCCCAAACCCAAACAGCCGGTTATTCCTAATCCCCTCGATCCCCGTGGTGCCCCTGCAGCCCATCGACCAGGAGTTGGTGAAGGCGGTCATCTCGGCGCAGCACATGTGCGGAGCCCCACGCGCACGCGGCTTCTCCGTGCGTCACCCGGACCCTTTTTCGGTGCCCTCGGTCTCGATTCACGCCCTGTTTAATCGCTCAAAATGAACAAACTGTTTCTTTTAATATAAGAGGCCTAGATGGCCCGTAAGCTGATGTGGTTGAATCACCCTTGTACCGCTTGGTCTTCTTTTGATTTACTGTATCCGGGTGCAGGCAGTCACGTCGATCACCTCAAACCAGCCCAATACACGTCGATCTACGTTGAGCTCCAAGCTGCGCTTGGCCCAAGCGGGTATTGGCCGCCGCCATGTTTTTCGGCCCAGTGCCTCATCCGCTGACGTGCACAGTGCAGAGACAACTTCCCAGCCTCAATGTGCCGGATGCAGAACCGCCCCAACTCAACGTGGCCAGAAGTTGATGCGAATTACTGTTTTCAAGCTGAGTAGATAGTAGTAGAAAAACCCTGAAAGACAGCAAGGGGAGATTCATGATACAGAGAAGATATCTAAAGATGGTGTCCAGATGTTGCAACTCTGAGGTGGGTGGCTGTTCTCTGGCCCAGCATGGGCGTGTGAATGAGCCGGATAGGGGTGCCAATGATGACGTTGACCCCAGACCGACCAGGGGGTGCATCAGGCGGCGTGCAAAGCGGCGCGTTGAGCCGCTAGGGTCAGCATATGTGGCCCTCTGCAAGGTGGCTCTCAGGTGTAGGCAGAGGTGTTCTCAAGTCTCATGCTGCATAAACAGAAGACATCTTGGGTTGATTTGTTTCTCTATGTTCTAATTTCGCGCAACTCTTATCTCTTTTCTTGGTAGCGATTGTTGTTGTTGCTGTTGCTGTTGCTGTTGCTTGCTGTTGTTGTTGTTGCTGCTGCTGCTGTTGTGGTTGTGGTTGTGGTTGTGGTTGTGGTTGTGGTTGTGGTTGTTGTTGTTGTTGTTGTTGTTGTTGTTGTTGTTGTTCGATGGGGAATACAGCTTTAGAGCAGTTTTTAGCGTGGTCGATTAGCATTGGGGGTAATTGGTGGGTGATGTTCCGCATTTGGGCCCCACACAGTTCCCAGCGGGTGAGCGATTGGTTAGGCAGTCATGCTCTGTTCGATCGGGTTGGTCTGACTATTTGACCTGACCGTCTGACCATGCGCTGCCAGCGCGCCTACCAGGCTGCATGCGCCATAGAACTAGTGTGACCCAGGCAACATGAGCTATTGGACTTTTTGTGGAAGAATGGCTTCACGCATGTGAATGGCATGGGAAAGGAGAAGGAGTGCAGGCGTTTCCTCCCTAGGCCTTCTTGCCTCTTCGCAGAGGAAGAAGTGCTGAAGCTTGGGTTGTGTTGAAAGACTTTTCTAGCTTTGTGCCTTGTGAGTCAGAGGTCCCACACCATTCTCATGCACAGCCTTCGTTGTAAAGCACGACGCCGGAGGTATCCCTTGCATCTTGCAGTCCAGATGGGAGATGCCAAGCTGGTCGCTTTGCTCTTGCGTGCTGGCGCCGATAGAGACCAAGAGTCCTCCAAAGGCCGACGTCCGATGGACGTCGCCCGGTCGGTCAAGCCAGTGAATCGAACACAGAGATCTTGGAGCTCCTGGAAGGCACTGAGAAGCTTGGTGTCCGTTCGGCACGAATGAATCAGGGTCGTTCAGGGGTGGAATGACACAAACTACCCTCCGACGAACACAGCACACGGTTTCATGGATGGCATGGTCTTTGGTTAGACGATTTTCTCCAAGGGGGTGGTTTCCACTTCCATGTTAGTGAGCCGGAGTGAAGCATCTTACAAAAGTGCTTCTTGGTTGTTTGATAGTTACTGCATGCCATCAGCAAGGTGCCTTCTCACTGGTTCCCTAAAGTCTGACCAGAAGTCAGCTGCGGTGAGTTGCTATTTTGCTGATTTGCTTGAAATCTTGACTCTTTGCAGATCGATCAATGCTTTAACACATTCCAAAGCCTCTCCAGCCTCTTCCCTTGTGACATTGTTGCGGGGCGACCTCCAGTGTCGCTTCGATGAACGGCTCATCAACCCGCCCGGGCAGTTGGAGTCGCCTTCTCGGCCCCTTCGCTCGCTCCGGCAGAGTCACCAACGCATCGACGCCACCTTCGTTCGACCGGCCGCGGGTGCCAAGGAGGACGTCTGTGAGAGATCTTTTGAGGTCTTGATGGACCCACCGGCGCCAGTCTCCCAACCGTGACCCCTCGGTCACAGGGGTCCTCCGGAAGAAATCTTTCTCAACCGATTTGGAGACGCACAGTCGCGACCATGATTCGATGGAAGAAGCTGAGGTCTTGATGGGGGTCTCCAAATTTCAAGCACGCATCGTTTTGGGCTTAAGGGCCAACTCGTGCTGTGCAATACAGGCTTTTCTGTCTTTCTGGTGCGAACTCCAGTTAGGCAGTGCTGTCTCAAATAGATCAAACAGATTCTAACAGCTACACTCCCTGAAATAACCATGGAAGCGGACAATGGCCTCTTGGATGACCATTTTCCAAATACCAAGCAGGTGGTTTTCACTCCACTTCCATGTGAGTTGTAGATTGATTGAACAGAAAGGCCACAATGGCCGACCTTCCAAGCATTCCTCCACAGCATCGGCACATTGGTCTTGATGTTATATGGGATGCCAGGGGTTTTACCACAAAGCTGTTCTTCCTGTTCAATCAACAGGATGTGCGCCATTTTGTGGAGTCCCTTGTGAGTCAGCCCCACGAGGAAAATCAATTGGACCGTCGTCATGTGGATTCGGATTGTGCCAGGAATATTTGCCAATGACTCAGAAGCTACTGTATATACTTTGTCAGCTAGAGCTCACGGGATATCAAGGTGCCCAGACTCTAGACTGGGCCTGGACATTAACAGAACTCCCAAGACTCCTGAAGGACTCGTGAGAGTTGAGCAAATTCGGATGCCACGTTAAATGGCCACCTAAAGCCGATCTCCATGCAGAACACCCAGTTCAGCAAGAACTTCACAGGAAATTGCAAGACTGGAAGGTGTCATCTCGCTAAGACACTCAAATGTCTGAATGCCAAGTCCACATCCTTTTGGTGCCAGCAAGCCATACAGCAGCCAAATCCATCCACGAATCCATCCATCCATTTCATGTTTCTACCAACTGCCCGACATGAACATACTCAGCCAAAAAAACTTCATCGTCCCAGGATAAAACATACGCACATGCCTAGGCCTCTCTAACTTTCACCCCCTTCTTTTGTTTCGCACGCGTCACATCGCGTCACATCAAGCCTGATGATCCAGGCTCTCCGCCTGATCCACCGGCTTCAGGTGCTTGCTGCCTTTCCGGATGAAGCCGAAGGACTACCAGGCGTTTCACCGTCTGTCCCAACTACAACGGTCTGGTCGGTCTGTTTCGTGAACCCAAAAAAAACTTTGTTGTTTTGGTGGAGGCGACCTCCGCAATCCGAATTTTGCGGCAGGCGGACGACTCTTCTTTTTGGGGGCCCGGCCGTTCTCTTCCTTAAGGTTCGAAGTGGAGTTGACTCAAAGCCATTGCGAAAGGTCCACATTTCACATTCGGCGCTATAGACTTTCTCTCGAAATTCCACCACACAACCTGTGGATCCCAAAGGGTTTCGGCGTGGGCCAAGGGTTTTGGAACGGTGTTTTCTGCTCCTGCGTGGCCACGTTGCGTGGCCCCAGCAGCGTGGCACGTTGGCATCGCGCTCTGAGGTGATGCCTTTGATGGATCCCTTGCAGTGGATGGCCGACCGCCTCACCGACCGCGTGCGGGAGGCGGGTGAACGGGCACGCACGTGCGGGTCGCTTAGTGGTCTGGGCGCACACCAAACAGACAGGTACTTGAACTACTTGTACTGAGAATTTTGAGAATTTTGAGACTCCAGATCTGAGGCCAAGCCGGATGCCCATGATAGATCTGCAGTAAGTTCATGTACCTGGGTGCGGTGCTTGTGGTTGAAAGCGAGATCGATCTATTTCGGGCGTAGAACGTCGCAGCGTGCCAGGACAAAGACCGGCGCAGTGCAGCCATGCTGCAGGTGATGTGTCTTGGCGCATGGCGCAGAGACGCGCTGCGCAGAGACAGGGGACCAGTCCTCCACCCCGCATGACCGGGAGCCCATCAGAAGTGTTTTTTGTTCCACTCAAATCGATGAAAACCGGTGGATCTACTGGGGGCGTAGGGTTTTTCAAGATGGCGTAGGATGAACTGCCCGTCTTGGAAACGGGTTCATTCCAAGTTGCTTGGAGGAAGAGTACTTCAAATTGTTCAACACCTTCACCATTCATCTGACCAGGTGAGGCTGGTGTATATGTTTTTTTTTTTCAATAAAGACAATGCATGGGGTGAAGACCGTTGATAGAATGGGCGCACTCCAGTGACTGGGTGAATTTTCGGGGATCCATGCATGGTCTTTCAACGCCTCAAGCGGGGGAGAGCATCCAAGTCCAGACCCTTTCGGATGAAGCGCTGCGAAGAAGGCGGTTCAACGGTTCAACCAGCACCCCGCTGGTTCTCGTGCGGTGGAACCCAGGCGATCAACCAACCCAGAACTTCCAAGGACTCATGTTACTGCACCTGAAAGTCATAATCCACCACTTAATAGGGGTATAAGCAGTTATTTTGCACTCTCAGGGAAACTTGGCACAGCTCAGTTGATTGTTTTTCAGTTGAGCCAAGTTCAAAGGCCCAAAGGTTTTTCGTCCACAACTTGCAACCCGTTTTCATTTGGAGCGCTGTTCCAGGGGCCCATAATAAGACATATATTTTAAGACGAATTCCATTATAGAGTCTCAGAGAGATGCACTTTCCTACAATTTTGGGCCTTTCTCCAAATTCGGAAGATGCGTTGGTCGAACTTTGGGCTTCGGAGCTTGTTGGATGCTGTACTGGCATCCATCCTGGGGCGGGTCTACATTTCACCCAACTTTGGGGAAGGGAGGGGCGGATCCCTTTCAATCGTGTTCACCCCATGAGAGTGCTCTCGGTCTTGGACTGCAGGAGTCTAGAGTCTAGCGAGTCTGATGACTAGTGTTGCAACCATCGACCCCAGCTTGCAACTTCCACGGGTCCGACGTTGATCCTAAAAGGCACAGAGCGATCGGAGCGATCGCAAGGATGGAGCGATATCCGGAGCTGAACTATCGGAACTTCTTAAAGCACGAGGTGCATGGAGCTCGTTCCTCCACCGAGAGGACATGGACATCATGTTTCATGACCTGTGGCACAAGCTGCCGGAGAGCCGTGTTGAACGGGGGGAAGTGCCTCCTGGATGAGGGAGATCTCACAGCCTTTTTAGTGGTCAGTGGATGAGTTCCTTCAATGACTGTTGGGTTCTTTGGATCCATCGTGGAAGAGCTTCATCAGCTTGGTTTCTTCCATCAACGAAGACGCAGCCCTTGACACCACCGCAGCCCTTTTTGGACACCTCGCCCCTGAACGCGCGGTATGTAGTCCCCACCACTGTGACGATGGAATCCTCTCGAGGCAGGGCAGTGGATGGGGCAAGCTGTTTTTTGTTGAAGAACGTCCTCAGTCTGGAGATCGACATGTTTCGACGGCCTCAAAGAAGATACATACATCGACTGGGCACAGGTTACCACACATGTTTCGCGGAAGCAAGGTCTCAGTAGGGAGACCCTTGGAGGATTGGGGGCACTCGCAGTGGCATGACGCAAAGTGAGCAACTTACTGTATTCAGGGTGGAGGTGGATGGCATGACGGCCCCTGCTGGAGGACCATTGGTCGAATACCATGGCCTGGTGTGCCATCCACCTCCATGATTTCTGGGAGTGTCCGACATGCGAAGGTGTCCCTTCCCTTCCCCCAGGTACGCATCATTCCACGCGATGCATCTCTATCCCCCAATCCAGCCAGGTCAGCAGGTCAGCATCCTAACAGGTCGGCAGTTTCTTGGATGTGTTTGGGTGGCAAAATACGCCGCAGCCTTTGGGTCCAAACGGCAGCCCTGTCCTTCAACGGCGAATGCTGCGATTCTATTTCGCTGCGGCGAATGCTGCGGATTCGTTTGGCGACCACCGGCGCGGCGGTGGCGGAACTGCACGAGGAGCAGTCGCGTCCGATGGTGGACAGTGAGGGGCCTGTGAGAGCTTTGAAAGAGTTTCTGGCAGCTCGGATTGGCTACTCCAGGTTTCGACAGAGGCTCTTCGGGGAAGACATGAGCGAGCTGCAGGAGGATGCTTCCTTGCTTGTGCCACTGGATTTGCGCTTGGTGATCCTGGATTTTCAAGCCGCTGGTGGAGTAGAGAGGCAAAGGTTTCTGTGCAATTGTGGGCAGAACTTATTTATAGAGGTTGAGAGGATGCTTCAATCACTGCATGATCCCAATGCTACAGATTCAGATGGGGTTTCTGCACTTCAGAGAGCAGCACAGAATGGTTGCAAAGAAGTTGTGCACTTACTGCTCGAGGCTGGCGCTGATAAGGATTCTACCACAGCACATGGTGTGACAGCCATGCATATGGCAGCTGCAAGGGGCCACACCTGGGGGTCCTACTTGGAGGTGGTACGCTTGCTGCTGGAGGCTGGCGCTAACAAAGATTCTGCGACGGCCGAAGGCGAAACAGCCTTGCACATGTGCGCGAAAATTGGCCAATGGGACATCGCGCGACTACTGCTGGAGGCTCGTGCAGACAAGAACTGTTCCATGCAAGATGGGAAAACAGCTTTGCATTTCTCTGCTTGGAGTGGCCAATTGGAAGTAGTGCGATTGCTACTGGAGGCCGGCATCAACAAAGATGCCTGCACGCGAGAAGGCAACACAGCGTTGCACGTGGCAGCTGACATGGGCCGCTTGGAAGTGGCACGTTCGCTGCTAGAGGCAAGCGGTGACATAGATGCCATCAACAAACAGGGCCAGACAGCTTGCTACTTGGCAGCTGGATCTGGCCACATGGAAATAGTGCACTTGCTGGTGGCCGCTGACAAAGATGCCCACAGGGTGGCACGGTAGCTCTGTTGGATGTGGTGCGACGGCTGTAGCGACAGGCTGGTGCGACGCGGCTGCAGCGACTGATGGTGACACAGCTGTCCACGTGGCAGCTGAGTGTGGACACTTGGAAGTGGCCGAGCTGTTGAACAGTTGGCCGATGGAGCCAGATTCGGCAGAACCATGGACACAGTTGGCCGGTGTGTCGTTTCGGGGAATTTGTTCTGACATTTCCGGACGGATATATAAAATGAGGTGGGAGTTACATGAGGTCTTCCAAGATATGACCTTTTGGTAGGTGGATCAAAATGGCATGGCTCCTGATTTGCTGGTTGGTCCAGTTTGATTTTTCACCACCAAAGAAGTATTCCTTTCACTGCCCCTGTTCTCGGTGATTGCTCCCCCAGCACCATTTGTCTCCAAAATGATTCATCCCTCACAATGCACGTGGATTGGCTCATTGACTCATTGAATTGTCTTCTGTCCTATCGAAGTGGTCAGCCCATGACTCCAATCGAAATTATGGGTTGCCTGGCTGACCGAAACTTCGACTCACTCCGACTCACGTTCCATGGAAGTGGACACCACACTGTTTGCAGAGGAAAATCGTCTTCCCAACGACCATTTTCCATCCCACGGGGTTGTGGTTCGACTGGAGTTCTCCGCAGTTCTGCCGATCGCGGGGGTTGGCAGGGGAGTTGGGCGCAGACCACGGTGGGGGGCGCTGATCCTCATGGTTTTGGACGAGGTAGTTTGGTGCCCAGCTAGTTTGGTGCCCACTCAAACGTTGGGGCAGAAACGGGAAGAAGCCGGAAAACCGTGACCGATTGGCTTCCAGGGTTCGCATCCACTGTCAAATCAACGAACTTCCTGTCGACCAACCACCTTGTAAAGATGAAAAACCGCGAACCAAGCTGCAAGAGCCAACAGACAGGCAACAGGTCGATGATCTGGGAATCTCAGCGGGGAAACCCAGGTTCAGCCCCAAGCTGTGAATACCAATCGAGCAAACATTTGAGTTCAGTGGACTAGCACATCCTGGACTTGCTCATGGTATATAGCAATTTACCTCTTTTGTTTATGTACAGTAATTAGATAGCGCGACTTGCGGTCCCAATCCGTCACGGCCTCACTTAGGCAGTGAAGTACGGTCATTGTATTAGATTTCTTTTTTGAGTTGTCATTCTCACGAAGCACGTTATAGGGGTCCCAAGGCGACCGGCAAACCGGTGGTCGCTCCCAGGTCGACGCGATGGCCGTGACCAAACGTGACGTTTGTAGGTGGGCGAGGGCGGCGGTGGCGGCTGTGGGAAGTGGGGTTTGGATGAGTCTTTCCCAATAGGATCAGGATAATTACTAGCTGATTTTAGGTCACGACTTGGGCCAATGGTCCATCACCACTTTGGGGCCTTTGTTTCGACAAAAGGTCTACAAAGCAAGCTTGAAACTACAAAACAACTTGGCTTTCCTTTTCTCAGGTTCTAGAGTCTAGAGTGTGTCAGAAGCTCGATGCTTCTCTGATGCTGTTTCAGACAAGTTCGACACCAGTGGTGCCTCCCCATGCTGCGGGTATCGGTCTTGTCTGGTGAGACGGTGGCGGAGCTTCATGAGGAAGAGTTGCGTCCAATCGTGGACACTGAGAAGCCTGTGAGAGCTTTGAAACACTTTCTCGCAGCTCAGGTTGGGCACTCGAGGTTCCGTCAGAGGCTTTTTGGGGAAGACATGACTGAGCTGCAGGATGACGCTTCCTTAGTTCCGCCGCTGGATTTGCACTTGGTGATCTTGGATTTTCAAGAACCGGATGCAGCGACAGCAAAGGCATTCTACCTCGCTTGCGAACAAAACAGCATCATAGAGGTTGAAAGGATGCTTCAGGCCCCACTAGACCCAAACACAAGAGATCTTGCAGAAGATCCTCACACCGGCATTCTTTTGCCGCTGGAGACTGGTGCTTTGCTTCTAGCAGCTTGCCATGGCCGCTTAGAAGTGGTGTGCTCGCTTCTGGAGGCTGGCGCAGACAAAGATGCCACCACTCAAGAGGGTGAAACGGCTTTGCATTCCGCAGCTCGCAATGGACACTTCAAAGTGGTGCAAGCGCTATTGGAAGCTGGTGTCGATAAAGATGCTGCAGTCGACCATGGCAGGAGAGCCTTACATTTGGCAGCTTGCAATGGCCACTTGGAGGTGGTGCGATTGCTGCTGGAGACTGGCGCTGACAAAGATGCAACCACTTTGGGTGGCGAAACAGCTTTGCATTCCGCGGCGTTGAACAATCACGTGGAAGTAGTGCGGTTCCGGCTGGAAATTGGTCTTGACAAAGATGCTGCTGGGCAAAACGGATTGACAGCATTGCATGGGGCAGCTCTTTTCGGTCACATTTTTTCGATTGCTTCTGGAAATGGGGGCTGACAAAGATGCACCCGCACAATGCGATTTTCGACCTCTGCATTCTCCAGCTCGCAATGGCCATTTGGAAGCCGTCCAGCTCCTTCTGGAAGCTGGCGCTGACAAAGATTCTGCTACAACAGCTGGCCTTGCAGCTTTGCATTTCGCAGCTCGCGATGGCCACTTGGACGTAGCACGATTGCTGCTGGAGACTGGCGCTGACAAGGATGGGACCACTTCAGACGGCCAAACAGCTTTGGAGGTGGCAGCGGCTTGGAGACGCTGGGAAATGGTTCGGCTCTTGGAGAGCTGCAGTAGGTCAGTTGAGATGCGTGACACGTGAGCCTCCGTCACCTGCAGGGCGAACGCATGGATTGGATGCAGTAAAAAGGAAGAAGCGAAAGGAAGGAGCGCTAGCGCTAGGAAAGGTCACACACTGCAGCAAGCAACTTGTTTTTCTATGGTCCAACTCTGACTTGTAGATCCAGTTTCTGCTTGGTAACATCTCTATGTTCACTCTCCACACGGACCTCGGCGTGGGCATCACTTCGGATCCGACGGAGTCTGAGTCCCAACGCAGTCGGGGTCCGGTCCACACCCGGACGTCTGAGGATCACAGGGTTTTTGTGAGAAACATCCCCCAGCAACGGTGAGTTTTGCGTTCGCTTCTTACTTAGTGGTAACCTGGACTTCTTGGTGGCTGCCCTAAGTGCCAGGATGGGAAAGGGTCCGTTTAGGCGTTTAGGCTCCCAAAAAGGCATCCGACCATCCTACTAGAGTTCGTTGCTTCTCTGATGCTGTTTCAGTCAAGTTCGACACCAGTGGTGCCTCGCCATGCTGCGGGTATCGGTCTTGTCTGGTGAGACGGTGGCGGAGCTTCATGAGGAAGAGTTGCGTCCAATCGTGGACAGTGAGAAGCCTGTGAGAGCTTTGAAACACTTTCTCGCAGCTCAGGTTGGGCACTCGAGGTTCCGTCAGAGGCTTTTTGGGGAAGACATGACTGAGCTGCAGGATGACGCTTCCTTAGTTCCGCCGCTGGATTTGCACTTGGTGATCTTGGATTTTCAAAAACTGGATGCAGCGACAGCAAAGGCATTCTACCTCGCTTGCGAACAAAACAGCATCATAGAGGTTGAAAGGATGCTTCAGGCCCCACTAGATCCAGACACAAGAAGAGATTCCAACCAAAGCCTTGCAGGCATTCTTGTCGCAGCGAAGAATGACCACACGGAAGTGGTACAGCTGCTGCTAGAGGCACGAGCTGACCAAAATACCACTGCCCAAAATGGTGAGACGGCTTTGTATGTAGCAGCTCATAGAAACAAAGTGAAAGTGGCACGGCTATTGCTGGAGAGTGGCTCTGACAGAGATGCAGCCACCCAAGGAGGCCAGACAGCTTTTCATGTGGCAGTTCGATTTGGCCATGTGGATGTTGTACAATTATTCCT